TATCCATTTGTTCAGTATGCTGTACAAGCCATTGTTATAAATAAAAACATATAATTATTACATCAATGGGTACTGTGATGAATACTGTGAATCAGCTAGAAATAGAGGAGTATTGCCAGCTTTGGGATAGCACGAAGTTAAATGAGCGTTTGGAGGTCGCCCGAGACCTTGAATACTAATTGAATTTGCCGGATTTCCTGAAATTGCTTTAACCGAAAAAAGTTGCGCTTGGTGGAGGTTTGGATCCGGGAAAAGATTAATCGGATCGACCGAGTCTTATGATGGAAGGAATGGAGCTGCAATATAGAGAAATTTCAACCCCGGATTTGTCGTTAAATGATTGTTAATCATGATAAATCGAAAAATAAAGTAAAGTTAAAGGTAATCCAGTGATCGCAACATTTTCGTTCATATTTTGGTGAAAATTGGGGATACACAAACACTATGGAAGCTCCGATATCGGTTCTTATTCGTTGTTTGAAACTCTCAACTTCCTGAGTCCTCCACTCACCATCCCGAGAATTCCAGCTGCCACTCCTACATCGTGCAAGAACTTAACGTAAACAGGTCCAAATGACTTTTTTTCACAAAAATCCCGCCTGTTATCTTCCACGACTTTTTCCAGGTTCTTCATCATGGGAGATCCTATAATTCTCATTAAGCTTTTTTACAGCGGCTTCTTAACCGACCGCCCCATTCGCTGAATGTGCGCATAGTCACGAAAATTGCTCCCTTTTGCAAAAGCAGGAACTATTATTTATCGAAGCTAACGTGATCAACAAAGAATTACGATGATTGACCCTGGATCAATACTACACTTTGAGCAGTATAAAAGAGTACGGAAACACCATGGGGCACCAATCCGATTCAGTATCGGGTCATTGCTCCTCATTACCTACTAATCTTCATATTTAGAATTTCCTTCAAGGATCCTCAAGCATTTACTTGCTCCATTCTCCTTATGATCTGCTTTACATCTCCTGATAAATCCTTAGACGAATTTGGCTTACAACATGGCTGTTACTCTCCCATTTACGTCCCTAGATCATTAGGCTGTTATCGCTCCACGACCTTCTGCTTCGTCCCCAAACCAATCCTTCTCCTGAAACCTCCAAAACCTCGTAATTGTGCTTTTCAGAGATGCAGCTTCTCATTCTCACTCTCGCAGTCTTTGTAGCCTTCGCAACTGCGTAAGTTCAACTTTTTTGTTTTTCTGTATATATCTAAACAATGGAAACCTTGTCCACCCTTCCCCCCCCCCCCTTCTTCGGAATCCTCAGTCGCTGTCCGAAAATTTGTCTACATACTTAGATGACGACTGGAGTGGGAGACATTTTAGCACGTACAACCTAGATGATTACCTGATCGTAGTTACATGTTTGGAGATAACAGAGCACTCAAAACATGTGAATTGATCGCAAATTAGGTGCTATCAAGCTGTCACAACTTGGCTTCTTCAGGATGGCTCCAGAGGATGTCAGAAAGAACGCTGTTGCTGCACTGGAAAGTGTACCAGTTGGCACGACCCCTGACAAGATTCAAAATGGCAAGGACTTCTACAAGTAGTAAGTGTGGAAGGAAACCCCTCCATAAGCTAAAACACTCGTAAAGCTTGGTGTCTCGCGAATGCTTCACACTGACATTCCAGCTTCTTCACTAAACATCCAGAGCTTCGCAAATATTTCAAAGGGGCTGAAAGCTTCACTGCCGATGACGTTCAGAATACCGACAGGTGAGGGATTCGTTAAGGACGGTAGGATCGCTGAAGAGACTCATCTGATAATTACAGATTCGTCAAACAGGGAGGCAATCTGCTCACTGGCGTGCATGTTCTCGCCAATACCTTTGACAATGTGAGATTTCGGTTTTCGTACTGCTTTGACCCCGAATGGAATTGCTCATTTTCAGGACATGGTCTTCCGCGCATACGTTCGCGACTTGATGAACCGACACACTTCGAAGGAAATTGATCCCAAGCAGTGGAAGGTTAGTGTCACAGATTTACTCCAAGTCATCGTTTAGTTAATAAATTCAACCTCAATGTTCAGGACTTCTTCGGTTGCTTTGAGAAGTTCCTTGAGGGCCGGGGTAAACCACTAACTGCTGACCAGAAGGCTGCATTGGAGGCGATTGGCACCAAGTTCAATGAAGAAGCTCAGAAACATCTCGCAACTCTTGGACTCCCTCACGCTTGAACTAACAATTGGCTTTAGTAGTATTTATTTACAAAACTAGGATTTTGTGCACTATCCAATAAAAAATTTCCAGCTTAGTCTAGTGTTATGAGAACAGTTACTGCAATTTACATGCTCGTGGAAGTTTCGAAAGATCTATTCGAAAAGTCTTCGAAATTGTCCTGAATCGCCACAAAACCACAACAAAATTGGTAACAAAAACATTCGCCTGCCAGAATGTGAATTCACCTCTTCCGAGAAGATCAGAATATAAGGAAGAGCAATCCACCAACGAGAGAGCGCAGCATTGTCAAAATCATCGTCTAAACTGCTACACCTTTACTACTACAGCTCCTCCGCTCGGTCTACATATATCTACATATATGTTCATTAGTACCTATCTATATCTTTTTAGTATTTGACGGATTAAAGCCTGTTTTTGATGCAATAGTACCTGCTAGTAGCCTAGCAGATTCAGGGATTGATATCTGTCTAGACCATCCAGGCCTACCATCCTTCCGGGGTCAATTAATTGGTACTAGCATATCCAACTGTTAGGATAAAAGCACTGACTCATAAATCGGCTGACCACCGCAAATCATTGAAGGAAGCCTCGCAAGGATGACGAATTGTGAGCAAAATTCCGGCCGGAACCTCATGACACGGTTATGTAATGTCATCGACTTGAACGAATCNCGGGGTCAATTAATTGGTACTAGCATATCCAACTGTTAGGATAAAAGCACTGACTTGTAAATCGGCTTACCACCGCAAGTCATTGAAGCAGGCCTCGCGAGGATGACGAATTGTGAGCAAAATTCCGGCCGGAACCTCATGACACGGTTATGTAATGTCATCGACTCGAACGAATCTTTTAACAGTGTTACGACAGATGGGCTTATCCTAGCTCCGAGCAACGGGGAATTGCACCGTTCGTTACGTAGAGGAGCAGCTCCATGAATTTTCAATAAGAATACTCCCGATCCCCAATGAAGTCATCGTCGACGTACGGATGGAGTCCCACAGTGCCATGTCACCTTGCTCAAACTTTCCAACTCGGTCGGTGAACCTAACAAGGGCTGTAATTATGAGAATTACTATTTACGTGCCTTTCAAGTGATGGTGTGGGAACTTTCAGGGTGTACAAAGGAAAGGAT